GATTGTAACCATAGCAATGAAATGATATATGATAGAATGAATGTAAAACTAATGTTCTCCCATGTAAGCCATCACATAATTCACAATAAAACATAAAACATAAAATAAATAAATAGATAAAGTGACATAGAAAAGTGAAAGATACAATACAATGGCTGGGGATATTTAGACATCACTGTTTATTGCTAGAACAAGCAAAGAGAAAATCAATGAGGATACAGAGGACTAGAAAGGCACGATTAATGAGGTCAACCTGAATATAACCTGTTGTCCACCATACCAAATAACAATTGTTTGGAAAAACAACTGCTTAGGAAAAAATTTGCCAACCTTATTGGCACTATTGCCATTTTGGACTGGGAACGTGGTGCAATGAACTACTTCATATGTCTCGTCTAGCCATAGTCTTCATAACTCCTACCAAACTACTTTATTCAGATGAGTCTGTTAAAGAAACAAGGGAAGATGCTGATGGATTACGATTCTGTTGTGACTGATTGTTAGCAGTATTAATTGGTACATTAACGTGGATATAAAATGAACCATCTCAGAAGCGGGAGTGAGCAATCTCATTACATCAAAGAAGAAGAGGCAGGAATGGAGCTTGTCTTTTGAACCCCAAGAACCCTGTGCAATGGACCTCCTTAACCCAGGGACAGAAATCCATGACGCTAGAAGAATGACAGAGGAACAACACGAGCAGTAGCAGAACCAAGAACCAGAGCACAAGATAGAGTGGTGCATTTCTCAGTCATGGAGCAAGTGAAGATGAATCATTTGGGGCAGAAGCCTTGCTTGCAGAATGGGGTGCCTTGAGACACTTAAGTTGATGACTGAGGTTTGCTGACCCACAGAGCTACAGCTGAACACCCTCAGGCTGAGGTTTATGGTGGAATGGTGTGCCCTGTGAGCATTTATCAGCATCCAAAAAGAGTTTTGTAACATACCAGAGCAGGGCAGAGTCCAGGCCAAGGGTCTGAGGTCCAAAGAAATGTCTGACCTGACTGGAAGAACTATGCCTATAACCTGCTAACTTCCCTAATAAACCCCATAATTGTGAGTATGCTGTCTTAGTTCTGTTTGGCAGTTGCGATGACTTATCAAACCCAGCTGAGTAAAGAGGCATAAGGGAGGAATGGTTGGTGCCATACATTTTTTAAAGACAGTATTTGTGTGTGGGGCTTTCCTGGGCATTATAGAATATTTAGTATCAGCCCAGCTCTCAATCTTCTAGAGAGCAACAACATCAAGCTATCATATAATCAAGACTGTTTCAAGACATTGACAGATGTTCCCTGGGGGAAATGACACTTTGAATTGAAATCAGTGATTTATAGGTACCTCCTAGATTTTAATTGTGTATATATTATTACTGCACCCTTAGGATCCTGAACTGTGCAATGAAGCCATCTATATATTTATCTAACCTTGGTCAGTAATGTCTGTGTAGCTATGAGAGAACGTAATATTTTTTATAAATTTCATTGAGAAATGATGGACTTGATGTTAATTCTTATGGCACCTCTTACACAGAAAATATAAATCTAAGTCAAACTCACACACACACACACACACACACACACACAAGAAGAAGAAGAAAAAAAAACCACAGATGATTTTTATTATGCAGTTAACATATCTTTTAATGATCACCAACTAAGACCAAAGCAATCTACTACTTTTATGAATGGGGAAAGAAGACATACACACACAAAAAAAACCCAGACAATGAAGGAGAATCAAATTTTGTTAATTCAAGTCATTTTCTTACCCCTGTGAGTACAAATGCCTTGTTTCTATTGTTGATAACTTTTTTTACAGCGTCTTTCACATCCTTATTTCGGAGGCTGTAGATCAAGGGGTTCAACATGGGAATGATCACTGTATAGAAGACAGAGGCCATCTTGTCTGTATCAAGTGAATGTTTTGAGCTTGGTTGTAGGTACATGAAGATCAGTGTCCCATAAAATATAGTGACTGCCAACATGTGGGAACTACATGTGGAAAAAGCTTTGCGCCTGCCCTCAGCTGAGCGCATCTTCAGGATGGCAGAGATAATGAACATGTAGGAGACAAAGACGATCAAAACAGAGGAAATGAATGTGATACCAGCACAGGTCAAAATCCATAGCTGTTTGGTGTGAGTGTCTGAACAAGTCAGCCTGAGAAGAGGCATGTCGTCACAGTAGAAATGGTTGATGATATTGGAATGGCAGTAGCAGAGATGGAAGGTGAGGATGGTATGGAACAGTGCCATCAAGAAGCTATAGCTGTAGGGAACAGCTACGAGCTGAAGGCAGATTCCCTGGGACATTGTGACCATATATAAGAGAGGATTACAGATGGCCACGTATCGATCATAGGCCATGGAGGCCAGTAGCAAGCACTCTGATATCATGAAGGTAAGGAAGCAGCCTAATTGAGCAGCACACGCATGAAAAGAGATAGCATTTATTTTGTATAAGAAAGTTCCAAGCATTTTAGGTGTAATGACAGAAGTATAACAGAAATCAACAAAAGCCAGGTTGCTTAGAAAGAAATACATTGGTGTGTTGAGTCTTGCATCTACCCTAATGACTATGATCAAACCCAGGTTTCCTACTACTGTGAATAGGTAGATGGATAAGAATATCAGAAAGAGAGGCACCTTCCACTCCTGGTGATCTGTGAGGCCCACAAGAATAAATTCTGTCACCTGGGTGCAATTTATCTGATCCATGTGTCTCTTCAGGGCATCTGGATAAGAAATGAGGGAAAATAATTCAATTAAATGTAATTAAATTTTACCAATTTTATAATTTTTAAAATATATTTTGATATTCTATACAGAATTTGGTTGCTAATATAGGGATTATTAGTGGCACTGTAGGATCAACACTGGACTATAAACCACAAAGTCAGTAGTTCAAACTCACCAGCTGCCCCTCAGAGACCCTATAACAAGGTTGCTATGAGTCAGAGCCAACTTGATAACACTTAACTACAACAACAACAACAAAAGAGTCCTAGTAGTGTAGTGAGTTAAGAGTTGGACTGCTAACCATTATTTCATCTGTTCAAATCTACCTGGGAGAAAGATGAGGCTTTCTGCTCCAATAAAAATTTGCAGCCTTGGTAACACCATATACAGGGTCTCTAGGAGTCAAATCTGACTGAACATCATACAACCACCACCATCCTGTTGGAATATCGTTCTGGAAGTCTGGTCTGAAATATGGGTGGATTTCAAATACATGTCAAACATTTCCACATTTAAAGCATGCACATAAATGAAGAAAGTGAATAAATCCTACTATGATTCTAAATAGATGATAAATTAAAATAAAATTCACATGCTTCCAAAGAGTCTTATATCAATTGTTGTTGTTGTTGTTAAGTGCCATCGAGTCGGTTCCGACCCATAGCGACCCTGTACAGGGTTTCCGAGAGTGTAAATCTTTACGGGAGTAGAAAGCCTCATCTTTCTCCCGCGGAGCGGCTGGTAGTTTCGAACCACTGACCTTAACGATCGCAGCCCGATTCGTACCCACTACGCTACCAGAGCTCCTTATCAATTAGTGTCACTTTAAATTTGTTTCCCATTTACTAAAGCTACATATTTGAATTATATCTTGTGTATTGATTTTTGCTTTCTTGATGTATGCTAAATTGGATGTTTTCTGTGTTTTTGTATTCATTTTAATTAATTTTCATAATTGAATTATTTATTCTCCAAGTGGAATTTATTCTAAGAAAGTATAGAGCTCTGGCTATTAATATTCAAATATAAAATTCTGTATCTCTCTCCCTCCTCCTTTCTCTTCTCTTTCTTCATCTTTTTCTTTCTTGTTCTATTGACTTTGTATGTGAAAAATGAAAATAAATATTTCTTAGTAAAACTCAAATAATTTTCATTATATAATTTGGAAATTATGCTAAAGATATCTACTAGGCCAAAAAAAAAAAAAAAAGATTTTGTTTTTATTCAAATTTATTCTGAATTTGAAAAGCCTAGATGGCACAATAGTTAAGCTCTCAGCTGCTAACTGAAAATCCAACCATTCAAATTCTCCATCTTCTTCATAGAAGATGTGATCATCTCCTTCAGTTAAGAATACAGTGTTTGAAATGCATTGTGGTAGTTCTACTCTCTACTAGCAGATCATAATGAGTTGGAATTGACATGATAACTATGAATTGAGATTTATTCAGAATTTAATAATAGCTCTAATCTGCTTACAACTCAAGAGCATTACATATTGTTGTTGGTAAGTGCCATCAAGTTGAACTAGCTAGTGTGTTTGATAGCTGACCTTGAGGTTTGCAGTCCAGTGCTAACCCTTCAGTGCCACACCAGGAGTCCCATTATAATATGCTTACTGAACAGTCACTATGTAGTAACTTTTAAGTTTGCCTTAATTCTATCCTAAATTGTTGCAATCCTCCTGAAACCCTAATTCAGATGGATTGCTTATGTGTCATGATAGCAACATGAAAATTGAGGGCAATAAGGACTTTGGAACCTATGAATTCCAAATGTCTAATTTGCACATGAAGAAAATGAAAGTCAACATTGAAGGGAGAAAAAAGGGATAGAAAAAAAGAATAAAAAGAAAACTTTTGTTTATGGGGCTTCTCCATGGCACCTAACAACAAAAACAGACCAAAAACATCTGTTTAGACTACTTGTTTCATGACTCAAAATTATTTGGCCAAACAGTATAGGAAAAAAATAAAACCTATTATAAAAGACATGAAACTAATAAATAAACACAAAGTTACACTCTCATTACCTGGCATGTTCTTATTTCTATATGCTTTATTGTGTTCTGTTGTAAATCATTCCATTCTATTTAATCCAAATAATTCTGTACAAGATAGTATAAACTGAATTAAGGATCTACTCATAGTTACAGACACAGATTAAAAAAATCCCAATCTAGACCACCACATACCACTACAGTTTTTACTAACAGAAATGCAGAAGATAATTACCTTCATATAGCTCCAATATATAGATGATTACATGTAAGATCAGGACCCCTGGTAGCATAGTGGGTTAGGAATTCAGCTTCTAACTAGCAGGTTCAGTTGCTTCAAGTTGGAATAGACTCCACAGCACACAGCATGTAAAGGTCTTGGTTACAGACTCTATTCTTTTACTCTACTTTGTTATGTGTTACTGTTACCTATTCAGAATCCTTTTGTAGTTTATTCAGTCACTCATTACTTCACTAAAATATTTTGAAATCTATTAATTTCTTGGTACTGGTGTGATGTTATTGGATATTGCACTGGTCAGCCACTCCTTGGAAATATCATCAAGAAAACTGGACAGTTAAAGGAGAAGGTCCTCTCTATCTTATTTAGATATGATTTATTTTATAAAGATGTGGCTTCTTTCATAAAGGCCTTATGTATAAATATAAGGCTTCTATAAATAATACGTTTTCCCTTGTTGAGATAACATCTTTCATGTTTGTGCTTTATAAATATGTTAGACATACCTCATCCATAGTTCTTCTTACATTTATAGCAAGCATATGTGTGCATACCTCTTCTCCTGGTAGACTGTAGATGCTTTATGGTTGAGAGCCATGCTGTTCTTATTCATTTCCTAATATACTTTCTTCTAGATGATGGGACATGGGGAATTAAATATGAAACTTTAAAAAGCATATGCTTTGAGAAATAACTTTATAAGCTTATAGTGATCATAATGCAAAATACCCCACACTAGTATTGGGCAAAATCTCTATTGTAAGGGTAGAAATACAGTTTTGATATAGATAATAAATTGGTCAATCAGGAGGTGGGAGTTTGATTTATTTAAATCTAATGTAAATTATGGTGTGGCACTGTGGGTTAATGCGCCAGACTGCAAAGCCATTTGAACTGCAAGGTTGGTGGTTCAAGCTTACCAGCTGCTCCTTGGAAAGCCTACACAGAATTGCTATGGGTCAGGATCAACTCGATGACACTTATTAACAACAGCAATATGAATTATGAGTCTTGGTGTGGTGCTGTGAGTTAATGTGCTGGACTGCAAAGTTGGTTTGAATCACAAATCGGCGGTTTAACCTCACCAGTAGCTCCTCAGAAACCCTATACAGAGTTGCTATGGGTTGGAACTGACTCGAAGTTCCATTAGCAACAGCAATATGAATAATGGGAGCACGGTGGCTCTGTAGGAAAAGAACTGAACTGTGAACCACAGGTTGGTGGCTCGAGCCCAACAGCCACTCCCTGGAGAAAGACGAAGCTTTCTGCTGTTAAAAAGATTTAAAGCCTTCAAAACCCTATACAGTATCATTATAAATTGGAAATGACTCTCTGGAACTTAAGAATAAATATTAATTATATCTACATCATAACACAATAATATACACAAAGGTGAAATTAAATGGGATGCGGCTACTTACATTGATTTAAAAAAATATGTTGCTAAATTTTTAAATTTCAGTCTATGGTATAATATTCTAGTTTATTTTTTAACAAGTTTGTCTCCAGCTACTATGTTGTTGTTGTTAAGTGCCATCAAGTCAATTCTGATCCATAGCAACATGTATAGAGTTTCTAAGGAGCAGTTGGTGAGCTTGAACCTTCAACCTGCAGTTCAAACGACTTTGCAGTCTGACACTAAAGCACAGCATCACAGTAGCCTTGTTTATTTCCACCAATGAGTCAAACTCCACCATTTTGTTATATGATATCTTTTGAAATGTACCTGGGTAGGAAGTACTCTTATTTCTCCTCAGAATGGGATTGGATGGCAATGGACTGCATGGTTTTGTCTGTGTCTCTGTCCCAAAAGATTTAACCTCGTGATACGTTACATTATTAGAAAAATCAACACAAACTCCATTGGGATTCCAAAGCATGCTGTAGAATTATTGATATAATTGTGTTTATTAAGAAATTCTGATCAACAGATCTACCTATATTATAATATTGTTTGAGGTTCTCCAAACATTTTATATATTATTACTCAATTAAAAAATATAAATATATCTGAAAGGCAGGTAGGAATTACCTTAGAAAATTCTTGCAAATAGATATCTTGAACTATGCATTGAACGCCTCTCATGTCTTATCTATTAATACCATATATACAAGGTGTTTGTACAAGATCTAGTCTTGTGCATACATTATTGCCACTCTGAATTAAAGAATAGGTGAGTATTTGATTATCAACTTAGTGTGTTGAGAAAGAGTGGTGAGCTCATATGATTGATATGTCATTGGTAGGTGCTATAGAGTCAGTATCAACTCAAAACTACACTATGCACAACAGAACAAAATACTGCCAATCATGCACCAATCTCACAAACCTTATTGCTGCTGCAGTTGTGCCAATACATCTTGTTGGGGGTCTTCCTCTTTTTTGCTTACCCCCCATTTTACTGAGCCTGATGTCCTTCTCCAGGGACTGGTACCTCTTGATAATATGTCTGAAATATGAGAGACTAAGTTTGGCCCTGCTTACTTCTAAGGAGCATTCTGGCTGTCCTTTCAAGACTGTTTTCCTGGAAGTCCATGATACTTTCAATATTCTCCTGCAAAACCATAGCTCAAATGCATAAATTCTTCTATTGTCTTCTTTATGCATTGACAAATGTTCACATGCATATGAGGTTTGGGTCAGGCACACATTAGTCCTCAAAAATGACATCCTTGCCCTGGGACATGTTAAAGAGGTCTTATGCAGCAGATTTTCCTAATGCAACACGTTGTTTGTTT